AGCAACACCATTGCATCAAGTACATCTTTGAAAATGACATTTTGTGGTAGTTATTAATCTATCACCTTTGGCTGTGTGAATTAAATCAAGATCGAGGACCAACCCAACATATAGTGAATAAACTTCAATATAACAACTTTACCCTTTGGGATAGGGAGTTGAAAGGGGTTGGGGAGGGAGGGATATATAGAAGGAAGGATAGGGGAAGGTTAGCAGTGTGGTCAGAGGACACAGGTGAGAAGGAAAAAGAGAATACTAGGAAAATGAAGAAGAACTCCGAATGAGGACCAAAACAGGGACAAAAAGGGAAGATGAACAATGTGGGAGAGCAAGAGAGTGAGTGTAAGAGAGAGAGAAAGGAAAGAGAAAAGAAAGAAGAAAAGAAAAAAGGAGAGAAAAACAAATATTTGCAAAGAGTAGGGAAAAAATTAAAGATAAGAGGAGCAAAAGAAAAGAAAAGAGAATTTAAAAAATAATAATAAAACTAATTTTGGGAATAAAAAATAACCATGAAGATGAAGGGCCTCTTTCAGGGTATGTCTCTGCTGTCACAACAGACAATTTGGATTGCAGTGTGCAGATATAAGTTAATGCGTCTCAGCAAGCTAGTCACAGACCTATGAGATTCAGGCAGATTTCTGCCTGCAAGTCCCAAGTTGAGCTCCCTGTCCTCCTGTAGGTTTGAACTCTGCAGAGTTGTATTGTAGGTTCCAGCTGCCCTTCCCCTGAAGATAGTCCCCATTCTGATGGGAGGGAAGATGACTCCAACTTACCCAGTACAGTGGTCTGTTGGTCCGGTGTCCTCTGTGTCTTTGTAGTGTGGAACCAGGTGGCTGTACAGAGGATCAGGGGTGGGGGGCGGGGGTGGGTGTCCAGTGTATTGCTGCCGGGGCACGGGCTGATCCAACGCGTTCTGGGCAACTCGCGATGTTTCTACGGTGTCCACAGACCTGCCTGTCTGCAGCAGGCTGATCTAGTTTCAGTTTTTTGAGGAATCTCCATATGGGTTTCATATTGTTTGCACCAATATACACTCCTACTAGCAATGGAGAAGATTCCTTTTTCCTCACAGCATCACCAGCATTTGTTATTTGTTGAGTTCTGGACAATAACCATTCTTTATGGAGTGAGATGGAATCTCAGTGTTAATTTGCATTTCTCAAATGACCAGTGATGTTGAATATTTTTTCATGTATTTATTTGCTGTTTGTCCTTCATCTGAGAAGTGTCTATTCATTTCAGATGCCCATTTTTGAATTGGGCCTTTAAATTTGGGGAGTCTGATCTTTTTGAGTTCCTTATACACTCTAGATATTAATCTTTTGTTTGAGGAATGGCTGGTAAAATTTTTCCCATTCTGTAGGTTGTCTCTTCACTCTGACGGCAGTTTATTTGCTGTGCAAAAGCTTTTTAATATGATGCAATCCCAGTTGTTGATTCTTTGTAATATTTCCTGTGCAATTGGGGTTTGGTTCATAAAGGATTTGCCTACACCTATGTCTTCAAGAGTTCCACCTCTTCTCTCTTCCAGAAGATTTAATGTTTCCATTTTAATATTTAGTTCTTTGATCCATCTTGAGTTTAGTTTAGTACATGGTGAGAGGCATGGGTCTAATTTTAATGCTTGGCATGTTGAAAGCCTTTTTCCCAGCATCATTTATTAAAGAAGCTAACCTTCTTCCAGTGAAGGTGTTTGACCCCTTTGTCAAAGGAAAAGTGGCTGAGTATGTTTGCAGTTGTTTCTGCATCTTCTAATCTGTTGTATTGACCCCCAAGTCTATTTTTTAAATTGTTTTGCCAGTACCGTGCTGTTTTTTCACAGTAGCTTTGTAGTATAATTCAAGTCTGGGATTGTGGTACCCACTGCCTTACCTTTGTTGTCCCAGAATTGCTTTTGCTCTTCTAGGTCTCTTCTGGTTCCATATGAATTTTAGGATTGTTTTCTCCAGTTCTGTGAGATATGCTATTGGTGTTTCAATCAGGATTGCATTAAATCTGTGTAGCAGTTTTGCAAGTATGGCCATGTTCTCTATATTGGTTCTTCCTATCCAAGAACAAGGGATATCTTTCCATTTTCTGATATCCTCTTTGATCTCCTTTTTCAGAGTACTGTCAATGTAAAGGTCTTTGACTTCCTTCGTGAGATCGATTCCTAAGTATTTCATCTTTTAGGTGTGATTTTTGGTGTGTTTTCCCTCATTTCTCTCTCAGAGAGTCTATTATTTGTGTACAGGAATGTTATTGGTTTTTGAGTCCTGACTTTGTATCCTGCTATGCTACTTAATTTGGTTATTAAATCTAGGAGTCTTTGGGTGGAGTTTTTGGGGTCGTCTATGTAGAGTATCATCTCAAGGTGATTTTCACATAAGATGTTTAGGTTTTTTGCTATACAGGAAAGGGTGTTAATGTCATTCCAGGCATGAAAACCAACATTTCCTCAGGGAATAATTACGGCCATCCAGGCACATGACTAATAGAGAATCTAAGGAATCAAAGGAGGCTCCTGCTGCCCTTACAACCATGTTCTGCCCACAAGTTCAGCCACCATCCACAGGAGAAAGGGAAAATTACCTATGGCTGCATCACCCCAGGGATGGTCCGTCTCTCCCTGGGAAGCTGCCTGACTTATTTCAACTGTTCCTCAAAAAATGTGTCAGGATGCAGCGCAAATTCAGTGCAACTTTGTGTAATTTGAAAGCCACTAGGGGCCAATTCATGATGTTCTCTAAAGTGTTAACAGCGATGTGGGACAACGGGTGATGTGAAGATTCTGAGGGGGAACAACATCAACATGGACTGTGTTATCTCCTTCACCTGGAGATAGCAGCAGGCAGGCAAGCAAGTGTGCTTGGCGCCATGAGGGACAGGGGTCTGGGGTGGAAACACATGGCAGTGCCACCCCCTACTCTTCAAGAAAGGGCAATAGGTGATGTGAACATTCTGTGTTCTTAAGACTGGACAGGGTGAAATTTTCTCTGTTTTGTGAAAACTTTGACTTCATCATTATGTATTGATAGTTACAGTCCAGGTAATTTTGATATTGTCTGATATCATAATTCTATTGTATCATTGTTTAGCAATGTTGGACATTGGGAGAAAGCAAAAAACTAACTCTTCAATTTTTTTATTAATACATGATTGTAGTAAATAATAACTATGTTCATTGCCAAAGTCTATCTTATGTGCCAGCATGTCACAAAAACTGAAATTGCTCCATGAAGTTTTCTAGTGACCATGATCAGATGGTCTGTGGTATAAGATTATGAGGATGAAAGAGAAGAAAAAAACATTTCAGGGTTTAATATTCAAAGCCACACTTGCCCATATTAGAAGAGAAAAGCAAAGCGACCAGCACATCCCATATATGTATCCTGGTAATTCCCATTATTGTTTTCCTGCTTTAGAAATATAGGTTTATATCCTGAAGGAGGAAAAGTAAACAGAAAAACAAAGAAGTAATTTCAACACTTAAAATGTTTTTCAAAATATTCTCACTTCCAATGGACGTAGTTGGATAAGAGGATTAGTTACTAACATCATATACCACAGCAGGACAACTATGACTGACAACAATTATTTAAATATTTCACATAAGCAAGAAGAAATGACATTGAATTTTCCCAACACAAAGAGATGCTACCTGAGGTGGAGGATATACCAATTACCCAATCTAATCACTACATATTCTCTAAATCTATTGAAATATCATACTGTATGCCATAAATATATAAAATTGCTATTTGTCTATGAAAATGAATACACATAGATTTAACTTGGGCTTTGCATTTTTACTTGATTTATCCATCTCATCATATTGTTGGATGTCACAGAGCCAATCTGTTTCATAAGACTGATTAGATTCGCTGAACTCTGTCCATGGAATGGTATTTGGGACACCAGGGAGGGTGGTGACTAAGGAAATCATACCAGCAGTAAAACAGGACCATTCTACTGGCTGTTCCCATTTTTGCATATCTCACAAGCAGTAAGATCCACTGCAGCATCAGGCAAGTCTTTCAAATCTCCTGCCATCCCGTCCTCTTCTTTCACCCCATCCTTGACTTTTTTGCACTCCACAACTTCCTCATAGCGATTTTCACCTCTGCATTTCTGAGTGTGTAGATGATGGGGTTCAGCATGGGGGTGATGACTGTGTAGAACACAGCCACCAGCTTGTCCTCAGTGAAGGTAGAGGAGGGACGCATGTAGAGGAAAATGGCAGGCCCAAAAAACAACACGACCACCATGATGTGAGAGGCACAGGTGGAGAGGGCCTTGTGCCTCCCCTCTGCAGAATGGTTCCTCAGGTTGATCAGGATGATGATGTAGGAGCACAGCAAGATCATCAGGGAGAGAACAGAGATTAATCCACTGTTGGCCAATACAGTGACGCCCTCTACAGAGGTGTCAGTGCAGGCCAGCCTGAATAATGGCTGGAGGTCACAGAAGTAGTGGTCAATCACATTGGGACCACAGAAGGGCAATGGGATGGTGATTAGAATCTGAATGAGGGAGTGAAGAAAGCCCCCCAGCCAGGAACCAGCCACCAGCATGTGACACAGTTGGCGACTCATAA